ATATGGCTACAAAATTTTCATTGTTTGGCTGTAGTATGCAGGAAAGAGAAACAGTTCGCCCCTCAAAGTCCCCATGAGGACTAAGGACTAGACAACCAAACGGGAATACTGAGGAGGTCATTAAGATAACAATGTGTCTATTTTCTAGTAACTTGGGCCAAGAACTATTTAAAAATTTGTTTTTAATGTGAATTAGCAAGAAAAACATGAACAGTAAATACCTGAATTGCTTTAAAACATGGAATTTATTGTTGTGTGTGCTTTTTCCAGCTTTTACAGCAATCTTTGTCTGCTAATGATCTATGGATGTCATTTTTCTCTGAATTCTTTGTCTGCAGATATATGGTTCCCATAAATAAAACACTGGAAAAATTAAGTGTATGTGCATCTATGTGTAAGTAGTTACTCCTGAGATTCACTTTATTTTAGTCCTAATATTGTTAATAACATGTCGCCAGGAGCATTGCTTGTTTTCTTTACTATTTTTGTTTCTGATAATTGTATACTGATAAAAGTAATGGCTAGCAATTCACAAGTTTTTCAGTAGTTCACTATTACCCCAGAGCTGACTGGACCTGTGTAATTTATTGCTTTACACTGCACCTGCTTCATTAATTTATGTAATTATAAAACAGATATTTCTCCTGATGCTTAAGCTCAATTAACATAGAGCTACTATCTCTTTATATTCTATATTTTATGTGTCAACACTAGGTGTGAAGATCAACAGAATCTAGCCAGTCTTCACGATTGTCAGAGTCAGAACTAACCACTGCAGAGGCACACATAAAATAGGATAAGAAAAAGAGTATCTTTATGTGCACATTTATGAATACCATAACATTCTAATATTGAATCATAATGTTCAACAATATTTCAAATTATCTATACAATAAGTATTCACAGTTGTCTTTGTGAGGATTCTTATATAAGTATAAACATTAATAAACTGTTTAAATGCAGTTAAAAATGTAATTATAATGTTACATGGTGTAACCATCTTTATGGAATGGTTGACAAAGCAAGCATTTGGAGGACATCACACCATAAAATATAAGGATACATAATTTAACCTGTATATAAAATATCTTACAAGAATAATCCACTAATGATAAGAAAAGATAACACAGCCTAGTCTGAAGATCAATTTTTAAATATCAACTCCCAAACTTAAAGCCTATATGATTGAGCATACTAATAAATTGCACCTTCAATTGGAGTCACTTCAGTACAGCCTCGGCTTTCTAAAACTGGTGGCTGTCTTCCTGACTATTTTGCTATGTCTGTGTGGCTTCTTTCCACCCAATTCTCTTTCTATACCCCATTCAAATCAACAGAGACTATTAAACCCACCAGCTCGAGTAAGGTAGGGTAATGTGTACTGTGGTCTTTTGGGACAGACATAATTCTAATACACAAAAGCTTTATCTGTGTATTTTCCTGAACATATCAAACAAAACCACCAATGATCGATCAATTGTAAATTTCCACTATTGGCTGGTATGAAATTGCACCAGACTGGTTTGGTTGTTGGGGTGAACCAAATGTGGTGATCAGCGCGATTATGTGCACTTATTGGCGGTGTATAATGTTCTGGCTGATAAAATATTGAAAGTAACATTTTGTGGATATATTAAAATAAATGAGATCCCTTGTCATTCCCATACAATATACAGGTTTCAATTTTGGAGACATTTCATGTGACCAAAGAATGGTTAATGGTTAAAAGCAAAATAAATGTGCTAGACATCTAAGGTCATTTAGCACTTTAGGAAGGGTAGTAAAGGGTGCTTGAGTTCGTAAGTAGTTGCTATGCATCAACATTCTAGAGTAATACTGGGTTATGGTGGGGTTAGGTAAGGGGATATGTATGTGTCTGAGGAAGGAGAACAGGTTGTCAAAGCAGAAGAGGTCATGTAAGAATATTCTCCTGGAGGCAGATATTGGATGGGTTATAAGAAGAAAGGATACTACGAAGGTCAGGTCTGTGAGAACAGAAACTGCAAATATTCCAATGTAGGAGAGCTATATCTTGGATATCAGCAGTCACTTTGAGTATGGAGGGAGCAGGAGTTGTGGAATTTGAGGGTGGATAAGGGTTTTCGGTGTCATTTTGGGACTTGAGCAGATAGTTTTGAATATCTTCAAGAGTTTCTGTACTGGAGTTAGTTGGGGAGTTTTGTGAGACAAAAGTTTTCTTATGAGGGGGGAAGAGGAGACTGGTGTGGAAGTGAGCCTGTAGGAGAAATAGGGCTGGAATGTTTAGTCTGTCTGCTGCAGGTAGTGCGGGGAGGGAGAGGGGAAAGTGTTGGGGCTGCAGTAGAGACTGTAGTGTCTGGATTTAGAATGGCGAAAGAATTTGAATAGGAAAGGTAGGAGGTAAAAGTGGAGAAGTAAGATGTAGAGGGAGGGGGAGGGGCAGAGTAGGCGACATTACTGGAGTGGGGAGTATAAGTAAAACCTCGTCAATCACCAGGGTGTAGTGGCTTGTCAAACCTGTGATTTAATTGTAATCATATGCACTTGCACATTTGGTACATATGTTGTATTCCAAGATCAGCAATTTGTGAGCACCAAACCTTACTGGTGTGCATACTTCTCTTGTTAATGATGTACAGTTCCTTTATATTCAGCAGTGCCCTCCATCTGCCAAATTCCCTTAGTTTTTGCTCATTGCAAACAGACACACATTTTATATGAAAATTATCATCATCATCATCAGGGGCTAACGCCGACAGGGCGCATAGCCGCACCCACCCTTTGTTTCCACCTTTTGGGATCCCTCATGGGAAGCCGCCAGGCAGGGACTCGGCCCATCTCGAGCTCCTCACAGCAGGTTTGATCGATCTGCCCAAGCCACGACTTCCTAGGTCGTCCAACAGGCCTCCTCCACCCAGGATTGTCTCTTGCAGAGACAACCAGGTAGGCAGGAAAATAATATTTATGGCTGATGCAGAGCACCTAGGATGATTTCCAGAGTATGGAATTTTATAGCTGAAGTGTACTTGTATAGTAAATATGCAAACCCCATTGGAAAATACATGGTGTTACTTGCCCTCACTACAAACCTCACTAAAAGTATCATTTGCATACCAGGCAGAAGGGTCCACCAGGAAGACCTATCTCTTGAGAGAGCTGTATAAATACTAAATCAGTGCTATACACAATTATTTGTTTTGGCACTGATACAAGCAGATGATTCATAATGGTTGTGTTCTATTACTTGTGTATACACTACATAGTTTTGCATAATCCTTATTTATATTCTTGAGGCCATTTTTAGGACAACTTGACATTCCATGTTATATTTACACAGGCCAATCTTATGATGCTGCGTTTGAATCCTACTTCACATTATGGAAAGATTATTTCTAAATTTTTAAATTTGTGTGATTGTATGTACACCAATACAGAGGAGACATTGTATTGTAGGCAGTCCAAAGTGCATAAAATATATCAGGACACGCTCAAAGTAAAACTTAATTACGATGATATTGTTACTGATATATTTCTCTCACTTACTGCAAATAAATGTAGAAATACTGCCATGGAACTCTCCCCATACTCTATACCTGCTCCCAACAGTAGGGGTGGGCAGGAGGGTCACCTGGGAGGTTGTGGATAAAATATTTAAGAAATATACATTCACTAAATCACCACAAGGGAAACTGTAGGGTAAAATATGAAATATATGAATTATTCACTAAATCACATAACTGCAAAGTCCTCAAGGACTGATAGTGCCTCTAGCCTCGAGTGTGGCGGCAAAGGACTACAGATGGAAAGAGACACATACTGTGCAGAGAACACCAGCGTATAACACTAGATGACACATACTATTATATGTAATTGATGTACTGACTACAACACCATCTATGGAATGGACAGAGCAGTACGAGCATGAGTTTCCCTCCTGTGGCAGATCCATACTACAGGATCCACATCTGTAATGAGTTGGTTCTGCTGGCGGCCTAGTGACTACACTTCTAGAAGCCTTCAAGATATGAGGGTTGCTCCTGGTTGCTCTACAACTTCATGAGTGAGGTATGTGGTAGCTGTGGTACTCTTCTTGAGCTGTGTTTTAGCCACGGGCTCTGCACAAGGAAAAAGTTTGCAGCAGGTGTGGGCAGCTAGCACTCCTGGATCTCTACGCTACATGGTTCTGGTGGGACAAGTTTTTGGCGACCAGAAAGCAGAAGAGGTGGGGGTGTGGCTGGTACATCTGAATGTTCCTTCTTTGTACAGCCTGGATACCGAAACCCTACTGGTCCTCACAAAAATTTCTTCATCCCCACATGCTGGCACTATGTATGTGTCAAAATGTTTACACTGACAAGGAGAAAATACCTTATTTTTCACCGGAGACCTATTTATTACACAAATACCAAATAAAAATAAGTGGGGTAAAATCATGTTGACTATAAACCTCCTGAAAACAAGGAGTCTAGTCCCTTCTTCATTGGTAAAATATATGCAAATAAGATACAAATATATTCTGGCTATATCTTTACCCAAGTGAGAGCTTAATTTATCTTAACATGGTGGAGGCTGTAATTACAGTATGCTGATAGTGAAAATGTTAACTTTTAAAATATACATAATTTGGGAAAGTGTTATGGCACTTTTTAAAATCTCCAACTCCTTTTATTTCTGGGAGTGACCTGCACATTCAAAGTCACAGATCTAGTGCCAGACTGACAGCTGTTGGAGTTCTATACCAGCTATAGTGAAGTGTTTTCTATTTATACATCTAGGACAGTACATTTAGAAGTCTTTTTGGCAGAAAAAATAAAAATCTTTCCCTACTTTTAAGTACATTTTAAAATACTGCTCTTCCACATGTCACTGGATCTTTGCAAATTTCTTTTGTAATTTTCTACTGGACCTTTATTCAGTAGATAAGACTATAACATGTATAAAACTAGTGCAAAGCTATATGTGGAATCGATATTGCATATAACTTAATCTCTAAAAGTACAAAATCCATATAAAAAATACATCTACTATCACCACTATTCATTGGTTCCTTTCCATAAATCACAGAACAAATATTCCTTTTACAAAAGCAAGATCAATCAATCTGAATAACTATATCTCCTCTTGGAACCACCTCTTGCTCCATCTGTGCTTCCTCCGCCTCTAAAAGAGCTGGGTCTTCAAAATCAATGTCATCTGGAAAATCACTGTCATTGTCTGAATCTTCTTGAGTATGTCCATGATACTGATGCCATCCCTGGGTTTAGAAAGAAAAAGAAAGAGAAAAAACACATAAGGTCTTAAGAAATAATTCTTCAAACTCTGACTGGAAGGGTATCTTCCAGGACTTTATCTATTCATGGTATTTCATTATTTTTCTATCAATATATACATATATTTTATGGGTCATCATTATCATTATCATTATTATTACTATCATTCACAAGAAGTTTCAACCATGACTTACCAAACTCATGTGCGCATTTTCTGACATGTTTTCAAATTCCTTTTTCCCTGTCAGCAGAGTTCTTCTACATAATCTGGAGGTGTCCTTTAACAGTCGGCAAATATCAAATTCGTGCCTGATTGGTAAATGAGGGAAAGTCTTAAAATCACACACTTTTACTGGAAATGATGATAACATTGGTAACAAAAAAGATACAATCAAAAAAAAGGAGAGACTGAAGCAAAAATTAAATATATGCTTATGTGTGTTACTACATATTTGTTTTGATCAAGAGCAATGAAATTAGAGTAGGAAAAAACAATATACCAAGCATAATTGAACTTCCAATATACTTTCTATACAAGATATGAAAATGAACGTAAATGACAATAACAAAAACCTGTCCGTAATAATACATACCCCATTGTCATCGGCGGTACATACATATCAAAGGTAGTGCACATTTCACAGAGATAGCCACCTCTAAATCGTTCTTCGTGGTTACCTATTGGGACAGTTATAACCTGAAAATATGGACATAAGTTCAATTTTTCTCATGAAATATTCAACTTTTTTTCTCCATAAATCATAACAAAGAATTATGTTTCCTTAAAGGCTCTTCTATAGGCATGAAAACTGATACTTTTTAAAACACAGACACAACACAGACACACACACACACACACACACACACACACACACACACAACACACACACACACAACACACACAACATACACACACACACACACACACACACACACACACACACACACACACACACACACACACACACACACACACACACACACCACACACACACACACACACACACACAACACACACACACACACACACACACACACAAAATAATGAATCATCTAATTTAATGTAGAAAGGCAAGAATTAAAATTAATATCTTCAAACTGCAAGACAAACACACATTCAAAACCGGTCAAATACATCTCTTGTACTGTGAAGATATTTGTTCTTATTCATACCTTTTCTACATTTGTCAACATGATTAAGGTTCAGATATACAGATAGATAGATAGATACACAGATGTATAGATTGATAGATATATAGATAAATAAAAACGAGGCTGGTTTCTCCTGACTGAACATCTGATAACTTTAGATCCCCATATTTAAATTCTAAACATAAAATAACTATATATATATATATATATATATATATATATATATATATATATATATATATATATATATATATATATATAAAGCTGTTCTTTTTCCCAAGAAAAAAATATAAATAAACAACAAAAACTATAATGAATAAATATGGACATACTTCAATGAATTGTAATTTTGGATTCATATGCACGCACCCCATTCCCACAGCCACACAAAAAATAATAATGACAATAAAAGGTGCTTCTTATTTCAACAGATCCACAAAGTCAATACATACGAAGAAGAAGAAGAGAAAAGAAAATCTGTAAGTTGCAATTTTTCTTGTATCAAACTTAATACAACTTTCTGCCAATTATGAAACTGTATGAAGTAATAGAAGTCTGTGAGTTAAAACTAATGGTATTTAATATCAATAATCAAATTCATATTAAGATTAAGATTAACATTAACACTGATATTAATATCTATATTAACCTTGATATTAATAACAATACTATTACTATTATTATTATCAAACTTGTCATCCTCAGTATCAGTATCACTGCCAAAGGAAAAAAAAGGCTTAAACTTAACCTACATGGGATGGTCCCTTTAAACCAGAATCTCACCTTTGTTACCAATGGGCTTTTTGAGCTGGCAATGTCCTCTTTCCCACACTGGATGCATTTATGTTTTGGACACACCTCATGTCTTCCAGTTATCACTTCAAATTTTTCTTTAGCTACAGTTAAGGTGTACAGAACTGCAGAGTTAATAGTTAGCCACAATTTTGCTCGTGTGATTGCCACATACATTAAGTTGTACTCATCTCCTGCATCTTGTGGGTGCCGTCTATTTCGATAGGGCAAGTTCACTGGAACGAGATCATCTAACATAATAACCCAGTCAAACTCCAGTCCCTTAGCTTTGTGAATTGTGCTAAAAACTACATCAGACCTTGCTGGATCTGCACAACATCTTCGGTCCAAGAGCTGAAGGTGATAAGGAGTTTTGCTTCCGCTGTACTCAAACATTCTGATCTTGTTGGACAAATCATGGTCATCGATGTTATCAGCAAACTTTTTCAGACCATTAACAGAGTTGAATTTTGCAATAAGCTTGTTCTTGATGCCCAGTGATTCTGCTGTTCCCTTTCCTTGTTGAACTTGCCAGAGCTTGTAGATATCTAAGACAGCATCAAACCCATACTTGGCTAATCCTCCAGCAAAACTCATGGACATACCAGAATACTTCTCCTGAACACACATATAAATGGAAAGTTTGTATATGGTAATATTCATCCTAGCCAAATAAGCTGTACTGAGTGTTCTACCAGACGAAGTAACTGGGCTACTTTTGCTATTGACATACACACAGTCTTGCTTTCTGCCACCAACAAGTGTCTGCTTTTGTACATTCTTGAGAGATTCTAATGTACAATTTGCTATGTATGATATTTCAGGCCCAAATCTAAAGGACTGTGTGAGGTAAAATGTGTGTGTGGCTGGAATCATCTGGAGGGCATTGACTGCCCCTCTGAAGGAGTAAATTTGTTGATGAGGATCACCCACAATTACCTGGAATATACAATACAATACAAAGTTAATTGTCATTTTAATACTGCATGTACAATTTTCATTTTAGGTAATCTATTAAAGTTAAAAAGACAATCAAACAAACCAAATATTAGTTGAATGAAAACCAATAAAGAACTACTCTTCCCTTAATCAAAGAGAAAAAACACAAAAGAAAATCATCTTTATCTCCAACAAAACATTGACTGATCACTCACTTTGGCACAATCCTGTCTGAGAAAAATGTCAAACATGGCTGTGTTCATATCCTGGCCCTCATCAATCATGATAACATCATACCCTTGAATTCTTGGTTTGCTCAGTTGCCAAAGCTTCAGCTGACCATCCTGTAAATTAAGTAAGGGATCTTGGCATTGTATACTGAAATGATTCAGGGACTATTCAACATGCTTTATATACAACAGATGGAAAAGTTGTCAAAAAACATTAAATCATTACCTGTGACATGGCTATCTTCTGTGTAGGGGAACACTTCTTCATTTCTTTCCATACTTCCTCTGCATCAGGCAACAGTATCTGAAAGTGCAGAAGAGAAAAAAGTGATGTATTTCTAACAATTCAACCAGACATAAAATATTTATACCATTTACTCCCACTGTAATTCCAGCTAGTTCCTACAAAATTAGATCATTCTAATCCTTTCCATTACAGTTGAGCTTCAGTTACTTTGACTATATCTAAGGTCTTTGAAACCCTTATAAATGCTCACATCCTGTCACATCTACCTTCTCACTCTCTGCAATCAGATCATAAATATAGGTTTGGTAAAACAAAAATTCACTGGTGATATCCTCTCCTACTTAACTCATATCTGGTCTTCATCGCCTAGAATTTGGGAAAACTTATGTTTAAGCTTGAGACATTTCTGAAAACTTTGATAGAGCCTGGCACAAGGCTCTTTTGGCTAAATTTCTTTTCACTGGCTTCCCACCTATACTCTGTTATCTTGTCTACAGATTCCTTTCAAAACATTCTATATCTGTCAGTTTGACGGTGCTACATCTGAATCATTCCTCGCCTCCAGTGGTGTACCTCAAGAAGTTGTTCTCTCTTCAACTTTGTTTCTTCTCTTTATCAATGAACTCTCTCAGTTCTACCATACATCATACCCACTCTTATGCAGATGATGGAACTCAACATGCCTCTTCCTCTTTAGAATTATACCTTCCTTTCAAAACTGCCACCAGTCTTGAACTACTCCCTGTGCATTTTTTGGCTCAGACCTTGACCGTCTTTACCTGGGTCGGACAGACTTTAATCAATGGCAGTGCAAGAACTCATTTCCTCGCTATTTCCCTTTTCACTATTCCTTCCAAGTATGAAATCGCATTCAATAATAGTCTACAGGATCCCCTTTAATGCATCAACATTTTGGGGATTGTTACATCTAATCATTCATGGGGAAAGATAATGATATTCATATGAACATGAATAGGATGATTTTGAAAGCAAATTACTCTACATAATGCATACCAAAGGATTCCATGAATTTTTAATGGATAATTGAATGACTCCAGTAACAAGTAATCATGGTCTTTTTTGCCTAGAAATCATATAATTTCAGATACAGTGATAACACATAATGAAGCTAAGATGACTACAGACAGTTATATGTGCAGATGCAGACAAGCACAATTATGTACAAAATCACAAACAACCAAATTGACATAAACAAACTAGAACACTTACACTACACAAACACACCAAATACACGAAACATCCACAACCAGAAATACTTAGACATATCACACCAGTACAGACTCCTTCAAACACTCCTACTTTCCACACACTATTCGTGACTCCCACAACACATTATACACAAAGACAAAACAGACACCTTCCACAAATTACACTAACACATCTCAGATCCTCCACATAAAATACTAAAATTTAGTTTCCTATACCCCCCTTTCTTCCCCCCAACAACCAGCTGTCCCATAAACGTGATATGCACTAACCTTTAGTGCCTTATGCTTTAAAACCATTGAGTAACTTGGGGGGAGGGGGACCTGAGATATCTAAACACATAAGATAAATAGTGTAAATATATGGAGAAAGAGGTAGTCTGACTTTGGATAGTAGAATAATAAACCACTGGATAATAATAAACCTAGGACAAATAACCACGTATGAAATAGGTATTGCTAAAAGACTGAAAACCCTATAAAACAAAAAGAAACCCTTCCTAGTGATGCCTGGAAACTGAAGATGAACCCACACCACGATATCAAGAAAAGGCAACCAGACGGTCCTTCTAACAAGATACCAAAGACAAATCCACCTCCTTTCCGAAAAGTAAGATAATCCCACATCCGACTAAGAAAAAGAAGACCCCCCCCCCCATGAGTACCAGAACCGGTGCTAAGAAGACGACGACATATCACTGATGGGAATAATTTATTATGAGATACCATTGGAGTGTTGTGGGTAAGAGGTATGTTTTTGCCATGAATTCACAAAGCCCTTGGAGGATGATTTGACTCGGTGGCTCTTGCATTATTTCCATTGGTAAATAAGAGTGGAATTTTACCATAAATGAGCCATTCTTGGAAAAGCACCGGCTCCATTTAGCTCTATTTACATGAACAGGATCCTACACCTCCCTTCAGGAAATAAGCCAAGCTTAGACGAGAAAGGTCCTAGCAGAATTCAGAAGCCGAAGAAGTAACTGAGAATCTCACCGAGTCCAAGCGTAATTCCAAAATTCCAAAGTGAAAAAGAAGAAAAGAAAAAGAAACAAAAAAGCATTAAAGAAGAAAATATGGATACCCCAGTTTTCCTTTCTTTTTACTCCCTAAGTATATAAGTATATTGGTACCCAAAACTGGCAAGAAAAACTTGGCCCAATACATGATTATATTTAATCCTCCATATGTGTATGAAACTGGTATTGTCCAAAACCAACCAACATCCTCAGGAAACTTGGACATCCATTTGACCTTTAAAAGTACCAAAGTAATGCCGTTGATTTTTTGCTTTTACATGTTCTCTAAACCCAATTGGTAAAGTTATGCATAAAGACCAACATTATCCTGGTGCAAATACCAACAGAATCATTAAGAAATCATCCCTTCCTCATCCCTATAATTTCTCCCTCTTCTGGGTCTTCTATCTGTGTGTGTAGCTTCTCATCTTATCTCCTTTCTCAGTTTGTAAGAAAAGAAGAATAAGAATATGAATAAGAATAATTATGTTCTTTCAAATTACCCTAAAAAAACATCCATCACACAAAAAATAAAAATAAAATGAAGACATTTAAATCAATATCTCAGATACCTTGAACATTGTTCTTTCTAAAAAATGAGAGTAAACATAGCTCAAAATACTATGAATTTTCAAGACATTTAAATCCAATTTTTCTCACCAATTAAGGCATAAAAATAAAGATAAAAAAAAAATAATAATAAAATAAAATGAAAAAGATAATAGAGAGGTCTGATATTCTTACTATTTTTCATTTAGAGTTCTGCTATCATGAAAACATACAGGAGGCAGAAAGCAAAATGCTACAATACCTTTTACTTCTTTTCAAAATCATTCTAAAAAACATGAACCCCACAACTTATCAGAATCACCCTGGCAATAGAATTGGTCACGACAACTGTAGAAAATTGTATAGATGAGAACAAATGCCTCTGCATTTCAAAGAGATATAAGTGATGTTTAAAATTACAAGTGACTTTGATGAATCCAGTGTCAATTCTATCTTATACTTATTTTGCAACATAGTTCATCATCTGTAAGTTCTTGATGAAAGATAACATACCCATCATCATCTTGAGTGAGATAACATACCATACCTTTTGATACAGCATACCTGAATATACCTATTTTTCTAGAGTAACATACTCTCATTTACCAAAGTTTTTAAAATGACGTACATTTAGTCTATAGTCGTCCTCGATATCAATCTGATCCTTGTCCTTTACGGGCACATGTTGTAAAGTGAGAAAGTCATCACGAGAATTCAGGAAGATTTCAATTGTGTTCTTAACAAGGGCAGCCCGTCTCAACCTGTATATATGAAAGAGTACAAATATATCTGCCTTTTAATGGATTTCCTAAGGTGTTGGCAAAGTAGCATGTTCAAACTTACATATGACACTGCAAAGAGATTATATCTGTCATCAGTGTATTACAAAAGAAGAAGAGGTGATGTCAAAAACACTAAGATTATATTCCCAACTGGTACTTACAGATTAATGAGACATAAGAACACATCCGTACCTATTGCCAGCACCTTCCTTTTTACCCAGAAAATCCGATATTTTGCTGCTACTCAAGTTTCCATCCAGTCTTCGAATACTTGCAAACCTGTGGAAGAGAAACACAGAACATTTTCAACAAATTTATTTTCTTAACTTATTGAAAAGAGAACATCATTCTTGAAGAATAATTAAAGACAGAGAAGACAGTACTTTTCTCTATAGTAAAAAAATAATAATGTAACTGAAAGAGGGACAGATAAAGAGAGAGTGAGTAAAAAGAAAAGATGAAGAATGTATACTGCAACCATTGTGAGTCATTCAAACATTGAATGACAAAATTATTTGAAAAGAATGCTATCATATATAATATGTAATGGAGTACAAGTTGTGGCAGGTAGGATAGGATCTATCACTCATCCTGCAAAAAAGAAAAAGGTAAAAACTCTTCCAATCTACTAAAATAGAGAGAGAGCAGCAGTAGTAAAGTGACACACAGAGACAAAGACACCAACACAGACAGTTAGTATGAGGTATTTGGCACATGGAAAATGCACTTTCTATCTGAGAGGTCTAGTGCCAAGATTATAAGTATGACGGTAGCCTTATTGGAAATATTCTCTGTGCTGACTTTATGTAAAGACAATTGCAAGGCACATCCAGAATTCAAGGAAGAGAAAATTAAGTGAAATCTCCCCTCCTCCCCCTTTGCTCAGCTCTGCTATTGTGAAATAAGACATGAATGAATAGAAAGAATATTTTCTTTTCATTAAATGCCACATTTATCTGGTACTAAAGTTGAAAAGAAGTGAAAGGATAAGAAACACAATTATTTAAGGGAAGTTCCAGGCAGTGGTAGCGGGCTTGAGTGAAAGGAGGGAACAGTCATTCTGAGTAAGCCTATCTGAAAATAGATCAAGTCATGTCTTAAAACTTCATATTGCAGAATGATTATCTACATAAATCCTTAGTACTTTGACAACCAAAAATTATGCAGTCGTTAAACAACAGGAACAATTCCTTCTCAAGCCATTCCTATTCAAAGATGGAAAGGACACAAGGAAGACACTGCAGGAATAGTAAGAAATGAGAGCATGTGGGGCTGCCAAAATATCTTTATTGGGTAAGAGATCTGGTATGACCTAGAGTGTAAGGGGAGGGTACAGCAGCAGCTACTACAGCATGTATGGGACAACTTTTTAGACTGATGCCATGACACAGCTGTCATGAGCCATTGTACATAGTAAGACTTTGCCACAATCAACCAACATGTAGAAGGCTACAATAGTGTGGAATAGACATGGGCCTTACAACTACATGTAAAGTTTGCCACAACTAGCTGGAAAAGAAAGGCTACACTGATGTAGAGAATTCCTGGTGCTAGATATTATTTGCAGTCCATAAAATTATATTTATAGTGCCCTATACTGTTTCATGTCCACCATTCCATGGATTAACCCTAAAGTTTTCCACAACTAGCTGGAAAAGAAAGGCTACACTGATGTAGAGAATTCCTGGTGCTAGATATTATTTGCAGTCCATAAAATTATATTTATTGTGATCATGATCTGGCCTGTTAAAAAAGAGAAAAGGAGACACATATTCCCTCTTGTTCCTCCTCTACAAGCTACATACCCCAAACTAAGAGAGCTCATTCTATTGTTCCCACATAAGGAACTAGCAAAATGCAATGAATGCAAGAGAGAAATGTATACTCACACATTTATCAAAAACCATCTCACCCTTCCTTTTTTTGAGCAGAGAGAGAAGGGAGGATCAAGGGCATGCAGACAGGGTAAGAAACAAAGGGACAAGAAGAGCAGACAAAGAATGCAAACCAAGGGAATACAAAACACACAAGAAGCAAAGCCTTGTCTCATAGAGAAAATATTCCACTATTCCAAAGAAAAAGAAAAAGAAAATCATGAAAATTACACTTCTTTGTATAGATAGTAAAAAAAACAAAGAGGACTCTTGTACATTAACAAAGCAAGAAACAGAATTGATGTTGCTTAGCACATAGGCTACATAGTAGCATGAGAATTGGTGCAAACAGTACGGTGTCTTCACTCATGTCCGATCTTGCAAAAGCAGAGATTCAGAGTTAAGAAGGTATGATTGGCATACGAGTATTTTCCAGGGAGGATATTTGCCTTATTTTTGTCTAAGTTGATATTTGGATGTGTTATGCATATGCTATGATTGCTACAGCCTTTGCTCCAGACCTCGAGGGACTAAAAAGAGAGAGTGAGAAAGAAGGAACTTACCTCCTGCCAACATTTGCAAATGCCATGGCATGCGCTGTCTTAACTTTCACATTATGAGGGAAAGACTTGGAGCAGTGTTCCTCCACTGATTTGTTATAGACCACAAGCAAGAACCTCTGGTGTGGACGCTGCTTGCACATCTGGAGTAGGGTGGTGGTTTTGCCAGTCCCAGCAAAGGCTACAATTTTCACAATCTACGGGTGAATGGAAGACATTCTTAGAAATGTGGTGAAGATGTGGATTAATGTAAAATTGTAATGATATTCACTTGGTGTTTACATCTGGTCTTCAATAATGGATGGAACTGCGGAATATTTGAAATTATACAGAGCAACTTTGCTGCATGAATCATTATGAATTTCATAAAAACTTAACTACAGATTGTTTATGCTCATACTAGCAAAAATGTATTGGATTAGAAAAATATTCGTATTACTTTTACTTTAATAATTCAAAAAAAAAAATAAATAAAATAAAAACAAACAAAAACTTACATCATCTGCCTTTATATTGTGGTTTATAATTCTCATTTGTTCATGAGTATGTTGTACTTTTGGTTTGTAATTCATAAACTTTTGCATGGATTGTTGGCCACTATGACTCTTTTTTAGCCTCCCTGGGTCATCGGCAGGAGTCAGGGTCCACCGATTCTCATAGAGATACAAGGCATAGTTGACTATGTAATGGTACCTGTTTGGAAAAAAAAAGTTATCAAGAATACAGAAGATATATATGTTTTCTCCTTTGTTACTTAATGCTTTGCCCATTGTGAGTTTAATTCATTTATTGTATTTACATTGAGGTGGCTCCACAAGTGCTTAGTCAACCAATGAGTCAATTGCTAGTCCTACCTCGCCTACCTGATTACTCTTTTCCGTGATTTTTGGAAATATCTCATTTCACTTGATATTACTATTAGCATTGTTAATAACACTATAATCATTGTAATGTCAGGAATAATTACAAGAGCACCAATACTAATAGCACCAAGGAAAAAAAACTATATATATTTTTACCAAAAACTCAAGGAAGCGTGAAAAAAACTATATATTTTTACCAAAAACTCAAGGAAAAAAAAATCCCCCCTTGCTGGAAAAAAACGGTGTCTGAGCCCTTGCTGCTCCATCTATGTGTAGATTTAATCTATATAACAGTAATATAGTAAACATCACATTTTTTCAGCAGCAATGGGTAAAGTTCTTTATGGGTTAAATAATGTTGCATACGTGAGAACTGATGAGAAGCGGAAAATTGAGAATATCCCACACAACTTCAACAAAAAAGGAACCTAAAATCCTGAAAATGATTAATGAAACTGAGCCACAATGAATAAAAGGGAGGGGACAAACTCAATTACTTGTGCAAATTCTGGAAATCTCGTACAAAGAGTAATCTCTACATACTTTAACAAGACTAGAAGACTAGGAGTTGACATGCATTATACTGATTATATTCAATAAAAAAAGAGGAGAAAAAAAAAAAAAAAAAGAATTCCAATAAAAAAAGAGAGAGAAAAAAAAAAAAAAAAAAAAAAAAAGGGAATTCCAACATACCTTGTGGGGAGCTCATATTCCCTAGTACAGTGAAGGAAGAGCGTGGACATGCAATAAAAAGCTTCGGTAATATCTCTAGGAGTGAAAACCGAACCAGGAGACAGCAAAAGCTGCAGGAGTGCATCCACTTGCCACATATCCTTTGCAACTAAAGAGATATTTCATTTAATGAGGCTTTAATCACTTTTGTTTGTTCATAATATTTGTCAACACTACATTCATCACTTAAAATAGATAAAGAAATAAAGTGAATATGCAAGTTACTATTTATCTATTTTGCAGATTCCAAATGATATCCTCTGTTCTTTAAATTCATGTCAAACACACAATCAGTAACTTTCAATCAAAGATTGTCATAATATCATACATATTGAACACTTAAGGATTTTCACTGTTTTCAAAGTTTATAACCAAAGATCATATAGCATGTAATCATTTTAAAAATAAAAGTAGAGAATGAACATATAAATAAAAAAATAGGATGATGAAGATGAAAAATTATCTCCTTTTCAAATCTCTAATGCAAAAAAATACACACATTTGATATCAAACATTATATATCCACATTGGTATATCACATAGGCTACTGTAAACAGAACTGCAACCAAAACATAAAAAATAAAAATAGAAAAAAATCTTTTGTGACCCACACACACCACATACCAAAAGACCAAAACCTATTCTTACATCAAGGAATACTTACGAACAACTATCATGGACACAATATGCCATACATTGCGAGACTCTGGGATGAGATCTTGCTTGTGAAAGTCCAAAGCGGCAACAGCCAATTCATACAGCGGATGGCTCTTGAGGACGCCTATTGTTGCTTTAGACTCGTATGGAATTCCGTGCGATTTTCCCATTAACCTGAAAATCACGAAGCAAGTCATTCCACATAAACACAATAAGTAAAAAAATAGCAGGAAAAATTTGCAATTTGTATAAAATTTTAAGCATGAATGAATGACTAAAAATAATGACACTGAATGAAAATAAATAATCAGAAAGGAAAACAACATTTTGCTATACATTTAAAATTTCTAGCACATACCATTAGCACTGACATTGTTAATATTCAATAGAAACAAAACTCACAGCCTTACAAATACAAACCTAATGATGCTAATGAGACAGTCTTCTAACGATGTAATGTGGTGCTGGACACAGAGCTCTTTAACAATGTCTTTAGCCTGAACCTTCTCCTCGGCCCTTGATGGGGACAGCAGAAAAGCCGATGAGAAGCTCTCCGGAGCCAGTTTCAGACGATGGTATATCTTTTTCCAGGGGATGAACTGAGATATTGGAGGTAAAACAAGCTTAATTTTTGTTTTTTTAAATCTAGATTTTCTCCAGAACTATATTTCTAAAATCATCAATTACTTGTATTCCCTACAATCCAATTAATGAACTAGTAAATACTTTTATCATTCATCATTCATTTAAGCATTTAATTATTTATTACTTACCTGTTCATAGACATAAATCACTTTCACATTAGAATTCCAAACTTAAATATATAAGCATTTTTCGTATTCTTTGTTCCTATTTGTTCATTACAACTTCCTATCATGCTCTGATATCATAATGTATATATATACATGTACCAATCTACCAATCAAACCTATAGAAGTCACAACTTCATAATGTCTACTTACCGCTGGATTCATAATCACCCCTGACCAGTACTGGCACACTGTAGAGTGTACCGTAAGTAGAGCTGGCAAGGGAAGCTGCGCCAGCACCATCTCCAGTATCTCTACAGGGAGAGCCCATGATGACGAGCCTCCCAACTTTTCAGCCATTCTTTCCTTTTACCTGAAAACAACACAGAAGCATTAAGCATATCATGTTGTTAAGAAATTATATTATGCAGCTGTTCCTGTAATTGTTAATGATAAGAAATCTGAAGGATTGAAGCCCTACTAACTATATAAAATCATTATCAGAATGCATGTAAGTGTGTCACGTCTCATATTACACAAGGAAAAAGTTGGGACACATAGACCCAGGGCAATTTTACACATCAAATGCATAATAGAGAGGAACGCAAATAAAATAACACTGTTTTCATGGAGAAAAGAAAATGCCTCTTAGACACAAGGTCTCATCCAAAAGTTCATACTCGAATAATACCAAAAAAAAAAACTAAACAGAAATAATAGAAAAACACTGAGATAGAAAATTCAAAAACGAAATTTAAAAAATAAATAAATAAACCAAATAATTACACCAATTGTTTACCTTGAAAAATTTACATGATTTTTCCAGAATATATATAAGATGAATCAAAACAAAAACATTTAAAGGCCATAACCTTAAGACACAACCGAAGTACTTTGAAGATAGACTAATAAATGCTACAAAGTAATTTAATCACATTATTTACCAACACACACAGAAAAAAAAAAAAATCAGTAAACTTCAGCACTCACACGTCCACTGAAATTAGGAAAAATAATTGGATATAAAGAACACAATTTGGCTCACTGGCAATGATACAAAACAACCACCATTCAGTACGCTAAATGGAGCCGGTTAATGGTGCAGAGGCTCTCATGATCCTAGTTATGCCATTATCTACGTGATTTCAATGTATATATTATCCAGAATAAGATAAAACAATGACTAGACAAATGAATGATCCTTCAACCCATTTGTGACGGGGTGACGTCAAGTCATGTCATGGTTCTTCTCGTCATGCGCCACTGCAACTTTAACTATGTTGAAGGGAAACACACTCTACCATGTCGACAGCTGAAAAACCCACAATGCTCAGACTAGATTTATTGAAATAAGTGAGACAACAGTTTTGGAATTCTCGATTCCATCTTCTGAAGGGGAAAGGGAGAGGAAGCAGTAAAAGAGAGGGAGAAAGAAGAGGCACCGCGGGAAACACAGGGCAGGCAAGGACTGGATAACTACGTTGTTTCTGACTCTATTTCTTTCACTCTACAAGATGCCGTTGTTCATTTCCCTCTATATACGTGCCTCTCTATATGTAACCTATACCCCTAAAAAGTTACTCATATAACAGCCTAAATCATAGCCAACAGAGGGTAAAATCTACACTTAAAGATACATGAACTAAAATGTACCTGCAATAAATGGGTCAGAAATGTGAAAAATAACAAAATCTCACTTGACAGGGGTCTAAGGTTTAGGATAAATACGAATTATTTACCCGAATTATTATTATAATCATAACTAGTCTGAGAAGAATAGTCATAAACTTACTAATACCTTCATTTACATCATTTGCTATGGATGACAACAATAGATTCATATTAAACAGCAAGTATTAATAATTACATGGTTAGATGGCTGTATGGAACTAAAAAAAAAAAAAAAAAATACTACTGAATCTCCTGAAATGAGATGCAACAGGAATGATAATTCATTCATAACGGTCAACCGGATACTCATAATTCACAAACGACTTCATTTACCTTTTCATTTGGCTCTATATATATCCTTTGACTGAATACAAGCCGTAGAACCAAGCTTTCCCACTATATGCTTGGCAATTTCAAGGACAAGTCACTGGAGTGTGTTTTTCAAAAGTTCCGCGGGATCGCATTTCGAGTTCATTGCCTATTATTCTTTTTTTATTAGTGTTTCATTACCGTGACTACTTATAAATGTTATCAATATTACTATCTCAATCTTTGGTAAGTGTTATTGTTATTTATCACTAATTTTATAGCGTAGCTCTGATAAAATGATAAGTGTTGGTTCTATAACGTCTCAGTGTTACCGCGCAACATGAGGCAAAGGCGACAGAGTTCTCAGGATTTTTTTTTAAGGGTGTGATTTTCTGCATTCTGAGCGATCCTTTACTGAAAAGTTAATGTTATTAGATTATTCAAATAGTAGACTTTTGAATACCTTTCGCGATAAAGTGTAGGTCCGGGCCTTCATTGAGTGGTGCTACCGTGCTATGCCAGTCTTATCATTTAGTATTCATCCTCATAACTCTTTTCACCAGCTTCATTGTCATATAAACTGCTGGAACGATTTTCTTTTTTTTTTTTTTTTTGTCAGAAAGGATGATAGTAACCAGCAATTTTTAAATGTAATTTGATCGGAATATTCGACTTTTAGGCTCCGTTTCCCCTACAAACCGGACGCGTCTCGGAGGCTCGAAGTCAGTCGCGCCAGAGCAATTTTTCCAGAGCCATTCTAGCGATTTTTTTTATAGCTCTCTGTAGCGATTTTGAAGTTAGCGGAAAATGAAGAGCTTTTAAGGGGCCCTCACACGATTTTTTTCGTCAATTAATTGATATCAATTTATTGACGTCAATGAATTGATGGAAATCACTGTGCCCTCGCACGGTCAATGATTTTACTTCAATTTCAGTTTGATTCATAATTTCGAGATGAAAGCATCTGTGGCACTTGGAGTAGTGCTTGCTTGGACACTCCAAGCGAAAGAAGAGGAGTAAGTGGGTAAAGAAATCTTCGAAGGGAACAAGGTACAAGATTGCTTAGGATTACAGGAATTTCCTCAGATGGACGCCGACGCTTTGCCCACACACGCTCAATTTTATTGAAGACCCATCATAAATATCAAAGGAGTTTTGATCTATCAATGAATTGACTCAATGACATTGTTTCAATTAAAGATATCAATGTCCCCTCACACGGTCAATTTCTCCATCAATTCATTGAGTCAATTGATATAAATTAATTGACGAAAAAATTGATCGTGTAAACTCTTGTGTCTCGCGGATTTTACTCTTGCGTCTAGCGTGTTTTAAATTCCAGTCTAACGGTTTTGTGGAAATATTAATGGCAACGTTTTTTCGTCAACCACGGCGGGTAAGCCAAGGAGTGAGTAACATATAAATTAATAGAAGAGTGTCAGGCTATATGTGATCCTTATAACATGTATCAGCCCATATATATATATATATAATATATATATATATATATATATATATATATATATATATATATATATACATACAACACACACACACACACACACACACACACACACACACACACACACACACACACACAACACACACACACACACACACCACACACACCACACACATATATATATATATATATATATATATATATATATATATATATATATATATATATATATATATATATATTTGTCTGTACAGTACCTTTACAACTTATAACAGTTTCAACTATGAGAACAGAACACCATATTAGGCATTGTTCTGAGGTTGCCATATGTTTAAACTTCTTGCTGTACATAATGCTAAATATCCGTAACATAACTGAAAAAATGGAATTATACAGCGTTCTGCACACTGCTTTGATAAAGACAAGCAAATATATAACAGGTTATAGACACAAACACTCGGAATTTCATGTGTCTACACTTTAATAGATTTTGATACCAAATTTCGTTTACCGAGACTTAGCGTGTAGAAAATCAAACTTGTAGCCTATTATCAATGGTCTGGTAATGTTTTTGTTATGCTGTTATCATCATTGTATTTTAGTAATTTCCTATATGTACTTAGGGACAAATTTTCCTCCTCAAATGCTTAAATTATGGTTATTTAAAATATTGTTACAATACGAAATCTGTGAATGAAACTTCCAGCACTTAACTGTCCTGTTTTACTTTTACATACAATGATTAGTCCTTTTCTTTGAAATGGAATTCGTGGGGGTAATTTATCTTAAAAAATAAATAGATAAAAAATAAATGCTTAAAATAGGGATGCATTAACTGATAAAGTTATCAAAATAATATATCATTAAAAAAATAAATAATAATTGATATAATTCAAAAATAATGTTTAAAAATGTTAGGATAATGCATGACTTAAAAATTTAACGATGTTCAGGACAAGATGTTTTGTATTATATATCAACATGAAATTACAAAAATAATGTTCGTTGGTCACTGTCGAAGGAAACTATAAAAGGTCCAAAATGTTTTTGTCTATTCTTTGTTGTTTACTTATCTTATTTATTATTTATACTTATTTACTTATTTATTATCTTTTTTTCTTATTTGAAACCCACAGTAAAAACTAAATTACCTCTCCTTATCATCTTTTAAATTTCTTTCTAACTCATCTTTATCGCCAGTTTATACATTTCCTCCTTATCTTTTAAATGTCTTTCTAACTTATCTTTATCGCCATCTACTCTACTTCATTTACTTTAAAATCTATCAACGAATAAATAGCAAAATACTATGAAATAACAGATCACGATTCATGCTTTTCGAAATAACGAACCGATTTGGCATTTTCTCTTAAAGTAGGTTGGGCAACGAGGGGTGTTAGGGGGGGGGAGGGGGGAGGGGGTGGGGTGGGGGAGGAGG